AACCCCCCCCCCCCCCCCCCCCCCCCTTGGTCAGGGCTATCGGAGATGATGACGTCGACTTGACGCCTTTCGGGGGAAAAGGCAACAGGATGGCGTTCTCGATCGGGGGACGGGGACAGCTTCCGACAGGAAGGGGCGGGGGCGGCAGCGGCAGCGTTGGAGGCGGCGGCGGCGGCGGCGGTGGGAATGGGCTTTCTTACCAGCACATGTGGCCGAGGGACTACATTCAGGACTTGCAGCAGAATTTGGCTCTCAGGTGTGTGTGTGTGTGTGTGTGTGTGTCTGTGTGTGTTTTGTCGTGAGCATCGACCGCGCGAACTGGCTGACCAATGAAAATGAGAGGACGCCAGTCTTGTGGTGGGATGAACAACAGCCCCTGTTCTAGTGATTGTGTGGGTGTTGTCTTATGCGCAGTGCGTGTGCGGTGAGACCCTGCCGCTTCGTTTCGGCCGGACGTGTGCTGTATGCCGAGTACTCTCTCGAAAAAGAGAAGTTTTTTTTTTTTTGTGTATTCCAGTGTCCCCCTTTTGGTCGCTCTACCCCCTGTGCAGCGGCGGGCATCTTGCTGTGTGCTCCTGGACGTTGAAAACAGGCACGTGATGATGCATAAGAGTTGACCATTTGCTGGGCAATGTTGGCCATGTCGCAGACGCTCTCTGTATGCATGGAGGCGGGGGCAGCTTGAGGCCGACGTCGATGCCGTCTATTCAACGGTGATATGCCTCTGCGCCGAATTATTGATGCGTGAAGGCGGGGGCAGGGAATGAAGTCGATACACTCATTCGGTCGCTGTTCAAAGCGATGCGTACAGCCGCCAGATCATTTGTGCGCGAAGGCACAGAGGCAGGCTGAGGACGACGTCGGTAGATACGGTCGCTGCCAAAAGCGGCGCGCAACAGCGCCAAACCTCAATATTTGACGCATGAAGTCGGGTGCAGCTTGAGGGTGATATCGATATACACGTGGTCGCTGCTCATGATGATACGCAACAGCTGCCGAAATCTTTCGTCTTTCGCATGGAACGCCGACAGGCACCTTGGGGGATGCCTTCGATGCACACGGTCGCTGTGATTGCGGTGCGCCACAAAGTGGCGCCGACGAAAGAAAGGAAGAGTCCGCCCTTCGTCTCGTTTTCATCCGAAACAGCCACCCCGTCCGCCGTCGTCCCCAATAGCCGTTCCCGCTCGCTCTGTCTCTCTCTACTGCGGGTATGTGCCTTCTCCCCGCTCGTCTCGGTGGTCGTTCCATGGTGGTGTTTGTTGTCTTCCGGGAACAGGGACGTGATGGTGTCTTTCGGCGAGCTGGAGCTGGGGGAGATGGTCGGATCGGGGGCGGCGGGGACGGTGTGGAGGGGCTCGTGGCGGGGCGCGGCGGTCGCCGTCAAGGTTTGTGGATGGTTCTAGACAGGCGATGGCGCTGCTCCCGCGCTGTTTTCTTTTGCGAGAGCGGGAGGTAGCTGTGTGTGTGTGCGCGCGCGCGCGTGTGTGTGTGGATGTGATTGATATTCAGCGAGTGCGCTATCCTATGAAACGACAATCCTGTAAAGCGAGAAGTACGAACGCTTACACGCTTTCTAGTCAGCGGGTCCTGCCCCCCCGACAGAGGGTCCACGGAGAAAGTTGGACGACAGGGCCCCAGTTTCCAGATGTGTGTGATCGCTTGTGTGTTTTACCGTCGTCTGTGGAAAAGGCCGTCAGAACGCCGCATCAGCCTTTGAGCGCGCAACCGTGCTTGGTTCTGGTTACTGTCTTTCGTAGACAGAGAGAGCATTGCGTGATGATGAGAACCGTCTATTCCGTAGGTTATCGTACCCCTAGGCCACGAACCCCTGATGGGATTCATATGTTGACGTCGTTTGCAGATGTTTCCTCAGGCGATGGATCTGTCTAGCAGCTTACATTGTTTTGTTGTTGCGGCTGTGATCCTGTGTCGTGCCTGACGATAGACAATCAGGAAACCTGCGTGATCACGCTGCACTTGCCAGTGGAATTGGCGGCAACGTTTTTTTTTGTGGCCTTCCTGCGCGTGTGAACATGGTTCGAATCATTCCTCCTGCATACGTCGCATCAATGGCTTTGATGGAAAGATTCGAATGACGCCTCCTGCATACGTAGCAGCTGTGGAGGCTTTGAAAAGCGGCATCACCGACGTGTGGTTCTTGTTCGTTCCCATGTGTGGTCCGGAGATCTTTGCGTCATGTCGCGTGATGAGGAGGAATGTGCGACAGTCATGAAGTCAATGCGCTTTCTTCGCAACTGTACCCTATCGTTCGAGCCTACTGACCGTCACTGAGTGTTTCTCCCTTTTCCTTTTTTTTTTTTTCCGTTCGGAGTCCTGCTCTCCCACAACCCCCCAAGCAAAACCGAAATGTACCGGGTTCTCGCGTGGTTATGCACAGGTGATCAGGAGACCCTTCCACCAAGCGGTGGAGCTCGCCGGCGGCGATCTGGAGACCTTCAAGAGGGAGGCGTACCTCATGACCAGGTGAGGCCGAGGCAAGGCAAGCAAGCAACAAGCGGCACGGCGACGGCACTTTCAAGCTTTTGTTTTTTTTTTGCCCCGACGCCTCGTTTCTTGTTTCCTCTGTGGGAAAGCCCCAACATCGACTGCAATTATTGTGTTGTGGGATTATTGACGGAGCGCCTGCGCTTTTCGATCAAGCTATTCTCTTGTCCTTTGTGAGGCACGCCTCCTTAACGGCCACTTCCCGTAGCGGTGATCGTACTTGTTGTGGTGCCCGTTTCGTGTGAGTGTCATTTACTGCCGGTGCTAAGGCTCGGGGGTTGATCGACGTTCCGCGCGACGGCGGCGCACGTCTCGCGACAGGGGCTAAGACTGGCGTTGCTTGCGCAATCAGTCCAGCAGCGTGAGGGTTGACGTGTTTGTTGTTGTCCCGTGCGTCGGAGTTGGATCCACCGGGGATTTGCCTCGTTCGACAAGATCGTGGCTGGATTTGATTCTCCCACCTTGTTTTGAACCGTGGCACCCCCTCCCTCCGGCCACAACAGGCCTCAAACTTCACACATGCTTGTGCTACCGCTGTAGTACGCACGCGGTATTTTCATGAGAAGGGGCGGGCCAAGCGATCAGTCATACCATCGTTGTCTCTAACAAACAGGAATAGCCGCCGGTCAGGAAGAGGGGTCGTCACCAAGACGCAATGATGCATATCACCCCCCCCCCCCCCCCCCCCCCCCCCCCCCCCCCCCCCCCCCCCCCCCCCCCCCCCCCCC